TTTATTGGGGGGGGGGTGAGGGTTAAACTAATTTAAGAAATTCAGACTTGAAACAGTATGCATATCATACCACTGCCTGTCATGCTGACCAACACTGGTACATTGTTATTCATCCGTATCCAATTTCTCTCTCTTATTTTATACCAGGATTATAAGCTCTGTGGGGCAGTGACTGTCTGTGTTCTATATTCATGCAAAAATGGTGGGGGGGGGGGGCGCCGTCAGAGAAGCACTGGCTGAGGACAGGCAGCAGAGAGGCAAAGAGGGAAAGTGGGACAGGCAGCAGAGGTCAAAGAGGTGCAGGGGGCAGACACAGGAATGGGGAGGTGCAAAGAGGAGCAGGGGATAAGTGACAGGGGGATGATCCATAGGCATCAGGAGGCAAGGCATGGCGGGGCAAGGGACAGAGGGCTGGCCCTCACCCCCTCCTGCCACTTCCCCACCACAGTGGGGGATTGTGGGGAAGCACTCAAGACAAACCCCCAGTAACTAGATTATATACATGGAAAATAATAACGAGTTAGTTAGGCTCTGGAGCGGTGAGAGACGCGCGGGTGAAAGCCTGCTGTGCCCCCACTCCCCCAAAGCCTCCCGAAGACCTCCCAGCAGCTGTGGAACCCCCCGCCTGACCCCCAGCAAAGCTGGAGGCAAGCAGGGCCCATGGTGGGAGGGGGTTAACCCCTGAGTGAATGGGAGGAGACGGCTGAATGGAGCCGGGTCGGGTCAAGCCCCACCCAGGACCCTACTTCGCCCAGCCCCATAGGGAGCCACGCGACCAGAGCCACGCAAACAGGCTGCACAAACAGGCCCGCTTGTCTGCTGGCGCATGAGTTAGCGCGGAGCTCACGCAGGAGGGTGCGCGGCAGGGCCCGAGACCCTGCCTGCAAACCCCTCAGGGTAGATAGTCCCAGCCGTAGCCAGCCTACCAGAGGCATGAAACGGATGGGCACGTGCCACACCCCAAGGGTCCCCTCGGGCTCTGCAGCCCCCACCCTCTGGCACCTCAGAGACGGCCACCCAGACGGAGGCCACGGTTCCGGGCTCCACGCAGATGGAGCCCCTGGCTCTTGGCTGCGGAGGCTGCCTGTCGCTTTTCCAGGCTCTGGGGCCCAGGAGCACGGCCACCTCCCCTTGTGGGGTCTGCTCCCTACTGGGGTCT